AGACTTGGCATCAGATTCATTACTATTTTTTTTTCACTTTAAAATTCCTTTCTATTTTTTATTCTTATGACGACGTATGTACTTGGATGTTATTGTGAGCAAGTTTAGAAAAACAATTACTTGAAATAACATACATGCATATATCTCCCAAATAATACGGTAAATAAAATTGTCTATCACTAAAAATAATTCCCTAAAGCACTATCTCTATAAATACTATTCGGATAATTATCCGATAATTTTTGTACTCTTACATTATCATCAGTGTTGTCAATTGTTTGTTCTATTCTTTATATTGCACCGTTCTATTATTCTGATTATCATATTTAATCGTACGTACATACAAAAGGTGAACTTCTAGTGAATATACTAACGAATTTTAATCAAAAATGAAAATTATTTTATCAATCATTTTTTTCTGCATAATTAACTCCCACAAGAATGTGTTCGCATTTGTTCCTTCTGGAAGGGCAGAACATAGTGCAGTTCTTATTGATAAAAAACTTTACTTTCTTGGTGGATGGAGTGGCGGATATGCTTCAAACCAATTATTTTACCTTGATGTTTCAAGATCATTTACTACATTCGACATAAATTCAATGCCTTGGGTTGACCTTTCTTCGATTTCAGGCATAACTGCTAAAACTGGTGCAACAGCTTGTATTGACGAGTCTACAATTTATTATATTGGCGGACTTCATAATGGAGGTGCTGTCAGCAAATTTGATACACTATCCCTGCAATGGAGTGAACCAATTACTTCTGGATCGATACCTACTCCTCCTTTTGAAAGGAGTGATGAAGTGATGAAATTTAGTCAATGTGTAATTTTCGGACGTAAAATATATATTTATGGTGGATTTACCGATCATAATATGAACATATTAGATACTTCACAGCTAGATTGGTCTACGTATTTATCGTCACTAGTATATAGTGGGGCGTGGGGTTACAGTGCTACATTATTAAATGATTCAATTTTATACATTGGAGGAAAATTTAGTACATTTGGTGGTTGTCAAACCAATTCAAATCATGAGGTATGATATCAAGTTGCATAATCTTTACCGGTACTACTATAATGTTTTGCAAACAGTATTCCAGGTTTTTTATATCTCCAAAGCTTAAATCTTTATTAATCTACTTAGTCAAGTGATAAGCTTGTATGAGTAGCAAATAATAATAGATAACTTTTAAGAAAAATACGTACTTACGTATGTACATGTATTATAAATCAAAGGATGACTATATTTGATTACCTAACTGAATTAAACATCGTATCCAGTATTCCTTGATTAATAGTTCTAGGATACTATTTGCCAAATATTATTATAGTTTTTGTTAAAAAAATTTATATATAATCATATATGTTGTCATATAAATTCAGCTGCCAATTTCCATTTTTAATATAAATGATAATACTTGGAGTAAAGTTGTAAGTTTTAATAAAATTGTTCTGAATTTTATTTATATTTGTACTTACATTTAATTTAATTGCATTTATTATCGATAAACTTAGTCAACATCTGGTCAAGTCC